AAGCTGACATTCACAGAAAACGCGTTGATTGCGAAGATAACAGAGAGATCAAAAGGCGATATTCCTTTGTCAAATATTACCCAGCCCCAATATGCCGTGAGTGGACAAACCACCAAGCCGACGGACAGATCAGCGAGAGCCATAGACACCAGAATGACGTTTGATGGTGATGATCGAAGTTTCTTAAGCGGATCTTTCCAAACTGCTAACAAGATAAGAACATTGCCAAGCATTATCATAGGCGCCATGACCATCGAGACAACAGAACTGGTAGCTGAGAGAGGTTTTACATTTTCTAAGCGCAGCCATGCATCTTGTAAAGCCTGCTTGCTTGTAATGTTCCAGAGGTTGAAATGACCAACGACGGCCGCCATCACACAATCTGTCTTACGTCTTCACCACTCTCCCCTCGTGACGTGAACTCAGCCTGCTCTGTACACTCTCTACTGCGCAAATGTTAATTTTTTAGTGACATTCAGCTTTTTTAAAAGTGATAATGCATGATGTCAATTGTATGATCTGCATTTTGATTTAAGAAAGATTATTTATATTGATCGTTTTTATGGTTCCCTCTTAGCCTTGGATCTGACTTGTGTGTCTATACGCAAAGCATTGCTCTCTGTCCAGTTTTTTCATTTTTGTGTTGTTGTTGTCGTTTTTGTATTGTTTTTCCTTTTTTCTTGGGTCTTAGGGTGCGGCTAAATGTGATATGTATGGTGAATTGCCATTCTAACACGAAAACAAGCAATACATTATAACTAGTAATGCTCCAGATACATTGCTCATTTGCTTCAAGCATTCGTTTCTATTTATCTCAAAGCTGTCAGCTGGGGATATTTGCTAAGTGTTAATAGTAACACATAAGCCGAGTCGCCTCTTTGGGAAATTTTTAGTAGGTAAGTGTAAATATTTTTTAATCCTCCAAGTATTTTCGTGAGAGTGATTTAAAATTACAAGAGTTGCACATAGGAAATGAGAGACAAATAATTTTCACTGAAGTGAAAAACCACCATTTAATGACTTCCCTTTTCAAAGAACACTGACATGATCCGCGTGATTCCTTTTATTACACTCAAGTAGCTAACGTGAGAAAAGAATATGAGCAATATTTAAACGGACATGGCCAATTTACGGAACACTGTTACAGACTCTGATAACGTATCCTACATGTGCTCTACCTTTATCGGAAACACAGCGTAATCTCGAAGGAACTTCAAAAACTGTTGTAACAGGAAAACGGATCATTTATGTCGCGGTCATATACTTTTTTGATTGATGAATTCCCTCACACACCTATAAAAGATAAAATGATAGGACATTTTTTACTATATGTGTAATGTTTTTGTTGAAACTTAAAGAATGACTTCTCGAGGAGGCATATTCCTGCCAGTGAACAAAACGGAAAACCAACTTATTACTCTGGAGTAGAAAATCGTCAATTCATTGGTGGAAATTTTGGCTGGTTCAGATCAAATGCCTTAACAAAAACGCAAATGTCACCGTATCCAAAGTCCTCAAATTTTGCATCAAATTTACTACAAAAACAACCTTTACTGGACACTCACCAAGACAGGTAACTGACAAGAAAAATGTGACTTAAATGGTCGTTCCTATTGTTTTAAGTCATGCGTTGAGCGGACATGCAGTACAGTTTCGATTGATTAGCCGATATTTACATAGCAGATAATTCCACCCACGCAATCTTTTAGAACGAGAAAGAATAAAGCATTTATTGATCGGGTATATAATTCAAATTAGTTTCAGAGTCCAAGAGTCCAGTTTTCACCTTCAAATAGACTAAGTTGACGTTACTGTGCAAATGAAGAAGATTTGTTAGCGTATTAAAGAAAATGGATTGCTTCAAGACGTCGATTTAGCAAACCTCAACTTAGCAACAGATGCAAAAATGGAAACAATCGTAGTGATCAAATTGATCTAGTCCTATTAAACGTCCTTTAAAGCCCATGAACTTGTAGTTGATATGACATAATCGTCTTTATGATGCTTTGTCTAGTTGCTGATACCTTCGCTTCGTAGATATAGTGTATATAATATAGAAAATGATGGTAATGTGGTAGTTTCCTCAAGTTACGGTTGCAAAGATAATAGCAAATGCATAAACGAATTCGTTCAAAATCACCATTTTTCCGGTTTTTTTTTTTTTTTGCCCTGTCATACGTCTGCTGAGGTCACTTGGAATTAATTATCAGTGCATGTCGAATATAGAATCAATCATATTACGTTGCATTTTCTAACGTTATGGTTCGTTGTCTTTTATGTAAGTGTGGGGTGTTAATTCAAGCGTACCTCACCAATTCGATCGTGTCTTTCACAAGTAATACACACAAAAGACAGAAGGGAATTGCTGCAAAAATTTACATTAGAGCACATTAAGCTGAAATTGACTACTTATGTGGGTTTGACGAACAAATTTAGTACCGCCCCTTGAAAAAAATGGATGCTGGAAAATTCATGACCTGCTGCTGTTTAAGCAACTTGTCTAACAAACAAATAGCTAGCCAATACAAACATCTCCGGCATAAGGTAAATAAAAGAAACAGAATTGAATAAGGACCAGCTTGTGCCGTGGACTAGAACGAGGACAATTGCAAAGTACTGCGCTGAGGAGAAATTGGGAATCCAAAAATATGTTCTTTGTCCTGCTTTGAACGAGTCACAAAGTTTACTCCCAATGGCAACTATTGCCCTCGCTGGGTTTCGACCAGAGGCCAAATGCGGCGAGGCTCCCTCATAGCCCAGCGAATCAGTCGAACCAAATGAATGAATGAATTTTAACCTTAATTTGAGTGTCTTAGTACTTTGCTGTTAATTGGGGACACTAAAAAAACATTATACATCTCTCTATTTCGAAGCCAGGATAGTCCTAGTAAAAATAAAACAAACTTTTACCACTAAACGTTCAAAATATGGAGTAAGACCACTTTCGACACACATCTCATCTGAAAAGAAAAACATGTCGTCTCGAGCCGGAATCGAACCGACGTCTCCCCGGTTAGTACTCGGGCGCGATAACCACTACACCACCGAGGCAACCACGCTGGTAACTTGGCCACTTTAGCATGTAAGCGGAATCATACGACGGCCATTCCATGAGACTTTTATTCTTTTCGCGGTAAACGTGTGTTTCATGGCTTCTGAGTCCCTGCATGGGATTAGAACAATATACAAGAAAGTCCTAGTAAACAAACAATTCTAATCCCACGTAGGGATTTAGAAGCCATGAAACACACGTTTACATGAAAAGAATAAACTTCTCATGGAATGGTAGTCTCCCTCGCAGCCGTTGTTTGTCTTGCGTAGCAATCCCTTCAACTCCGACCATTAAATGATTATTAATCCAGGTGATATGCCCAAACTCTAAACGCCTTTAAAAAACACAGCTTCAATCAAACGAGAACTAAGCGTTTTATTAAGCAGTCAGTTGCCAGAGTCTAAGAAGTCGTCGTTTTTCTAAACAGAGAAACTGAGCTTTTTTCGTGACTTTTAAAACTAAGCGATTTTGGCTATTTTGAGCCAGACTTTTCTCCAAGCCTACTACTGTGATCGAAAGTGATTCCTAACTTTTTGATGTGGACATAACACAAAGGTCTGATTGCAGGGTTTTTTTAATCGCCCAGCCTCCCCCTCAAAAGGTATATTGCGGACCCTTAAGTCAATTATAGATTTGTGATTTTCCTTGCAAAAGTATAAAGTTAATTGTTTACACCAACTAATAAGTGTATTAACAGCAGCTTCGCTTTTAGGCTTCAACCTGCTGTGGATGATAACCTTGAACTGGCGAATTAAATGGGAACTTTCTATGTTCACAAAATCGGGACCATTGGTTCTAAACTCGATAACATGGCACAGGGGCTACCAACCCTTTCTGATGACCACACCCCAGTATCACCTCCCCGCCTCAGTAAATTCAACCTCCTTTCAGAGGAGGAGGCTCGCAAACTTGCAGTTTGGACCCTATGCCGACATCCCTAGTGAGGGATTGTATTGACGTGCTTTTACCGATCATAATGAAAATGATTAATTTATCACTAGAGTCTGGGTTCGCTTATGACTGGAAGTGTGCGCTCGTCCTTCCACTATATATTGACTTGGGGTAGAAATACTAAGGACCTGTCAGTAACTTGCAATATATCTTTAAGCTGACTGAGGAGGCGGTGTTTGAACAAATACACAACGATATGAGAAACCATTTACTTTAGTATATACACACTCAGTGATCTTGGTGATTTAAGCAATAAGATTGGTTCGCTATCTCGGACTATTCAACAGTATTCACCTCCTAGGGAGTGGATAAATCATAATTTTTTTATCACCGGAGATAAATTTTAGTTAATCGACAACTCTTGTTTGAGCTTTGTCCTATCTCCAGTGATTTTCACGTGCAACCTCGTGAGCTAAACTTACGAACTCTTCATTGTTTATTTGACCAATCACACGTTGCTCTGCAATGTTCAATAACTTGCATTCCCACGTGCTTCATCACTGTTTTCCTTCTCGGCCAAGCACAATGTCTTGAAGTTTTCTTTTCAAATTTTGATGTGGCGGGCACACTTTTCTTTTCAATTCTGTTGTGGCGTTGCGGATTAGTTCTTGCCTTTCGCCTTGGAGATCCCGGTGTTTTTATTTTGCGGGAGAAGCTCTAACAGCTTCAGTTATATGTTCTAATGCCACCTTAACGGCGGACAGGACGTGTCGCGGCTGGCGAACCGGTCAACATCCCAGCTGACCTCGACCTGGATAGTCTGTTTGTAAAAGATCTCCGTACTTTGTGTGATCAACTGAGCCTTCCTACCGCCGGAACACGCTCCGCGCTCGTCGATCGGCTCAAAGAAGCAAGAGAAACCCGGCAAAATACACAATCTATTGGCGCCCCACCCCCTGCTCAAGATGGCGGCGACAACATAGAAGTCCAAAAGCAGTTTCAGCAATTGCAACAACAAGTCCAGGACCTGTTGAATCGTAACTCTTCGGACGAAAGAATGCTGTCAGAGAGCCAGTTGACCCAGGTTAAGTCCTTGGTCCAAGCAACCATCAACGAGACGATCGAACAGACAGCGGCCGCAGCTGCTCAAGCTGCAGTGAACGCCTTCACTGGTTCTTCGCCTTCTTCTCAAGCTGTTGTTCCTGAGAAAAACTCGTCGAGTGAGGGCAACGTTCCTTTTGCAGTCCAAGAAACCCTAAATTCTACTGCTATCAATGCCGCAAGTGCGAATGATATCAACTGTATTTCCTCTGCATCCCAGCAGACTTTGGATTCAGTGCACGAACTACTAGTCAAGCTTGTGAAGGAGATCCTCTCGGGTGAGTTTATGGAACTTTCCAAATTGTTACCGAAGAACTTTAATTCGCTACAGCTTCTTCGTGACGAGCCTCTCACTCTGACTCTTGAGAACTCAGTTATTAGAGTAAAAAAGGCCACGGCCACTTCGATAACTAACATAGAGGAGTGGACCTCGGCTTTTACAGCTTACATGAGTGTTGTTATCAGCAAGCACCCAAGTCGTGCTGCAGAATTGTTAGAATACCTTTCCTTAATTCGGTATGCAGCTAAATATCACAGGGGCCTAGGCTGGTGTGTTTACGATGTCAAGTTTCGCAAAAAGGCTGCTGCTAAAAAGTTTATTAAGTGGTCGACCATAGACAGCCAACAAAGGCTTAAAACGTTTACTGTTGCCCCTTCACTTATGAGGTTTTTTTCCAGTCAGGACCTTCATCCATGCCAAGTACAGTTAGAGGGAACGAATATCCTACTTGCCACAACTTTCACAAGGGTTTCTCATGTGCCAGGACTCCCTGCCCCCATGCACACAGGTGCAACAAGCCAGGTTGTGGGGGGATCACCCCGGGATCAGGTGCCCTTTTACCCCTAAACCAGAAAAGCAGCCACCTCCACGGGCTGGGAAGTCCAACAATGAGCACCGTAGCTCCCGCCACCGTGGCAAGTAATTTTCGGAGTGTAATCACTCCAGTAAATGTCTTTAATCTACAATGTGCTCTCCATAGCAACCCTGACAGGATATTTGTTAATAAACTGTGCTTGGAACTGAGGGAAGGGGCTAGGATCGGCTTCTCGGGTCCTAGGCAGTTTCGTTTCTCAAGGAATTTACCTAATGCCTCCCTTAATCCTGTTTCAGCTATCGGCCTTGCTCCCAAAAAGCACTCAGACAACAATTTCATCTGTCCTTCCCCAAAACAGGGACCACCAGTAAAAACCATTTTATCGACAAGGATGATTTTTTCCCTTCAATACATCACTATTGATAAAGCAATTTCACCTATTCAAAGGTTCGGTTCTGACTGTTTCATGGCCAAACCGACATAGAATCAGCATTTCGGCTCTTTCCCGTTCATCCCCATGATTGGGAACTTTTGGGCATGTTTTGGAGTGGGTCTTACCATTTTGATAAAGTGCTCCTCTTTGGGCTCTGTTCGGCCCCATCTAATTACAATCAGCTTTCTGACGCAATTGAGTGGATATGAGTGGATATTGCAAAACAACTGTGCAATCTCCTTTGTATGTCACATCTTGGATGACTTCCTTATAATTGAACCTCCTGCCCCCACCGCACCTTTCAATTCCTTTTGCCAGGTAAGTATATCTAACATGATCTTGTCATTCAAGAACCTTAACATCCCCATTTCAGCAGCCAAAACGGGGGTCCCTGCAAAGTTATTCAGTTCATGGGAATTATTCTCGATTCACATGCAATGGAAGCCAGGCTGCCAGAGGACAAGATTCAGCGAGTTTCGATCCAAGCGATCTACAACCCTGCAAGAGCTTCAATTGCTGATCGGTGGGACGCACCTTTTTGCAAAGAATAATTAGCCTTACCAGAGGTGTTAAAAATCCCATCACCACATCAAGCTTACAACGGGTTTTTATAAAGATATTGAAATGTGGAGCTTGTTCATTGACCAGTGGAATGTTATAGGATTTTTTTTGTCTTCAGTGGGACACCTCCGAGACCCTCTCCCTCTTTACAGACGCCTCTGGCTCCATTGGCTACGGGGGATTTTTTCAAACTTGTTGGTTTAGGGGAAAGTGGTTACCACACCAACATCTCCTGGCACAAGCATTCTTTGACAAGAATTATTTGCTATCATTGTTGTTTGCCATCTCTGGGGGTACCAGTGGACATCCAAGCGCATCAAGTTCCATTGTGCAATTTAGGTGTGGTACAGGTCATTAATTCTCGGTAGTCCAAAGTCCCCAGGGTTATGGAATGGGTAAGGGACCTAACCATCTGTACGCACAATTTCTACTTTCAAGCTGTACATGTCCCTAGGAAACAAAATAATATTGCGGACGCTCTTTCTCGATTTCAGCGCTTTCGTCAACTAGCTCCTCGCTTCAGTGCATCTCCAGAACCCATCCCAACCTGCCTACTCACTCTCTAAGTGGAGACGCCCAATTTTACCTGGGCATGGTCCTGTCACAGAACACTAAGAAATCCTACAGTTCTGGCATGCGACAGTTTTATTCCTTTTGCTCACAAACGGGACTTACACCCACTTTCCCCATCAATGAAGATATCCTGATACATTTTTCGGTATGCATGGCTCGTTCAGTTCAACATAGTACTATTAAAAAATTATTTGTCGGCCATAAAGCATTACCATTCCAGTCATGGTTACCGGTTAAGCCTATCAGCTTTTCTTCGCTTACAGGTTATTCTCCGTGGGATTAAGCGCTCTCAGGGAGATAATTCCAAAACCCATAACTTTGCATATATTGAATTTATTTTACCACCTCTTAAATGTGAAATATTTCGGCAACAAAGACTCCTTAATGGTTTGGGCAGCTATGGCACTTGCCTTTTTCGGTTTTCTTCGTATTGGGGAACTAACCGGCGATTCTCACTTCAATCTTGAAAGTCACCTTTTCATTTTCAGACCAATTAAAGGTTTCCAAAACAGACCCATTTAGAAAAGGACAGACCAAAGTAACTGGAAAGGCAAATTCTCATTTGTGCCGTTTACCTGCCATGTTGGCTTACTTAGAGTCCTGTACTCTCTTTCCCACCACAGGGCCCTAATTTACTTTTCAATCTGGTTCCTTCCGTACTCGGGGTAGATTAACAAATGAGACGAGGCTTTTCAAAGGGAGAGCTTAATTCAGGTGAATTTGCCGGTCACAGTTTTCGTATCGGAGCAGCTACCACAGCTGCCTCAGCTAACTTACCCCCTTGGCTCATTAAGGTTTTAGGGCGATGGCCCTCTGACTGCTTTGAACGGTACATAAAAACCCCACCCTCAGTTCTAGCACAGGTTCTCCAGACTCTCACAGAGCTCCTGTGATGTCTGTTATTTCCATCTGAGGAGATGTTCCTGTTCTACTGTGGCTCGTCAATGGGGGAATGCTTTGCACTTGTGGGGATGGAGTGCTCCTCTCGTCACACTTTTTCCCCCACAGACTCGACATTTTGTACTCCGGGAATGTACGTATAGCTTAGTGGGGGCCCTAGGGAGGCCCACGATTGGTCACAGCCCAACTTCCTCTCCTATATCGGTGTGTGCACCTTCCATATTTACCCAGGAACGGTCACAGTCGGCCCTGGGGGGAGGCCCAACTCCCTCCTCCATACCGGTGTGTGTACCACCCTGGTGGTAGGTTTTCTTTAGCTCACAAAAATACAGGAGTACATGGGGCTGACCTCTTAAGTTTCAGTGGAGCACTTTGTCTCCCACTTCCCCCTTTTGAGCCACACCCAAACATGACGAAGTTGATTAATGTGTGAGCTCCGTGTTTTTCTCATTTTTTAAGAAAACGATCTTTTAAAGTCGACAAAACCCTTGGTTTGACTTTTTTTATGGCAAGAAAAGACTTCGAAGGATTCAAAACGGCGATTTTTTCATGTACTGTAGCTGTGTTTTGTGCTCAATGGATTGTTTACAACTCTCGTTTATTCGCGTAGAAGAGGCTGTTTCGTGAACTCACGTTTTCTAACAAGAAAAATTTGGTACAAAAATCGAAGTTTACTTATGAAAAACAAATTTGAAAGCAAGTGTTTGCAGAAATAATACGTTTCAAGAAAAAGGAAAAAGAATGCGACAAGAAGACGACGTCTTACCTCGAGCAACCGAGCCGCCATTTTTGTCAGCACCTGATGCGAAGAACGACACAACAAACCTTTTTGGCTATAAACTGGGCGAGTCAACAGAAAACAACAAAGCTCCACTTTTCTTCGCAGGTAAGGAAAGAATTCAAACTTTTAACGGTTCCATTTAAGCCACTACGCTGTTGTTTGCGAAGTGATAACCTTGTCGAATTGCCATGTTTGAAAATTCCGCAAAGATCTATTTTTAAACTTTCGCGTGATTTGATCTGTCAATTAAATCGTACTTTTCTGAATGGTTTCCTCTCTGATTATGATGACATCACTTCGTGTGTATATACTAAAACAATTATTCTTTTCAATCTCGGTGAATAGTGGCTTTAGGAATATTTACGGATAGCTCGATTTCATAGAATAAGTGTTAAAAAACCCAAGTTTCAGTCATCATATCGTTAAAATCATAGCGCGGAAACGGCGCTTGCCAAATCACGAATGATATTTTCATGAAAATGAACGCTCAAGAGGTGACTTTGTTGGGCATGCTTGACCTTAGCGCCACTTTTGATACAGTCAATCACAACATCCTGCTGGCACCTCTGTATTTGTGGTTGAAATTTCTGGTATCGGCTTTTATTGATATAATAAATATGCCAGATAAATTTCACAGAAATTGTTGGAGCAGAAGTCCGTAACTCGAAAGTCGTTGAAGATTCAGCTGTAAAAAAACAAAAAATTTATGACGAAAAGTTCGTCATAGCTCAATGCGCCAGTATTAATGACGGAGCCACCTTTTATGGTCTTAAAAGACCAAAATATCCTGCAATAATAAAACAAGAATGAAACATACTAGTAGACTTTGAACAAGGCTTTATCCTCTCTTGCATTGACATGATAGCGGAAATCTATAAACTTCAAGTCGAAATTCGAGCGTCGCCTCCTTGTGTAATTCTCAATATAACAAGCTAAAGCTGCTTTGAGACGACAAAACTTCCATAGGCGTTAACACGGCGCCTATCAATTAATGGGGTTTGATAACCAAGCCAATATTCTTAATAGTGGAATATCAATAATATATATATAAAACTTAACGTGCTCACTAATACTTTAAAAGTCATGTTAACTATGTTATGCGCATAAAATGTGCATTACATGAGTCCGTGATCTGAAGGAAAGCAACTTTTGCATGTGTTCGCATGGTGTCTCTTAATTGATGGGTCAGTAGACAATAAGACAGGATTGGTTGATAACCAGGCCAATATTAGTATCTGATAACTCATTTAAACATTTATCAGCAGCAATATCAAACAAATTGAGTACACTGTTTGAACATTGACGAACCTTTGATCATTGTTTTGTTTTAATAACATTAATTTAAATGAAAACAAACTTTTCTTTAAGTATGCTGTGTTAATCTTGCATAGAAAGGTAATGGGTATTCGAAATATTCTTGTAGAAAATGTGTATAACGATCTGCTTAAGAAATGCACGTTCTCCTTGGTAAAGGGCTCTGGTTCTGTTAGAAATTTTAGCAGCGGGCTGACGAACACGATAGAGACAACCACGGTTACGGCAAATAGCAAACATGAATTTGTACCACGTGACCAAGTTTGCCCTTTACCTGTCTTTTACTGTTCGTTACTTCTAAATAAAAATTACAAGTTTCACATTTTCTAAATTTGAAACTGACGTTTGCCGTTTGCGGTAAGCGTAAATCTCTCTAATATTGTTACTTTGTTTGAATATAGACAAACCGTAGATCGCCCTTTTCTTCCAGTGTCGTTGATCTTACTGGAAAAAAAACAAACTTTCGTTGT